TGTATAAATGCTTTTGCACCTATAAGTGCGGGTTTTACTATACTATACTCATGGTTTTTTACTTGATTAATAGAACTGTTACTAATGCTCCAAGGAAAATCAAGTTTACGAGAAATCCAATCTATTCAAGGATTATACTTTTCTAACCATGATAAGCCTAAAATTATTGGATTAGAGGGAGATCTAATTATATTAAAAATTACGCAACTACTATGACCATTTATTACTACATCTACAGGAAGTGTTTCGTGAGTTACATCTCCAGAAGACAACGGACGACCATCTATGACTTCTACGTGTACAGGTTTAGTTTTTTGTATTAATGATATTCTATGACATCTAGCAAATTCTTCATCTAAAAAACAAGCTGAGGCTCCTGAATCTATCAAGGCAGAGGCTTTGTAATTATTAGGTCCTAAACGCACATCTATTATAAAACAAGGAGATGGTTTTGAGGAGAGGATAGGACCTTCATTAGAAGTTGTACAAGATTCCAGCCGCACGGTCCCTATTGTAGCTGGACGTACTCGTTTTCCGACATACTGTCTTCTTTCACAGTTGTACTCCTCATTTTGTATTTACGTCGCTTCTTTGGACAATGTTGAGCAGTGTGCTTAGGTTCTCCACAATATAAGCACAATCCTTCTTGTCGACGACGAGACTTTTCTTGCTCAGTAAGAGGTTTGAAACGTACCGCATCAATTTGCATATCCTCTACTTCTGAAGGTATGTGTTGAGGAGACGTCGGTGTTGTCATTGAATTGTAGTAACGTTGAGGCCCACTTGTGCGACTCTCGGATCGAAATTCAAAAAGTCGATTGTCGCACTTCACAGCAAAGTCAATTGCTTGACTCAATGTTTGAGGATCAGGTAAATTAAGCATCAATTTCTTTACCTCATATTGTAATCCGTAGAGAAATTGACTCACAAGTGCGGCATCATCCCACTTGATATCAGTTGCAAGTTGTCGAAATTGCGAAGCATATAATGTTACTGATCGATTGCCTTGTCGCAAAATACGGATCTTGTTGGTTGCAACACGAATTGCATCATGTTCTCCAAACATGGATCGAAACTCCGCCAAAAAAGCCTCTAGATTATCCAATATTGGATCTCGTCGTTCAAGAAAAGATGAAAACCATGACAATGCTGATCCTGAAAGAAGTGTACCAATGAATCTAACTTGTGACCCTGGAATTGGATAGCTCTGGGGTTGAAGTTCAATCACTAGTTGGACCTGATTGATGAATCCTCGAAGCTTGGATCTGGTACCATCAAACTTCTCGGGCAAGGCAACTCTCGGTTCTCTAACACTCGAAGGGTGTTCCATTCTAGGAGAAGGGACATGGTTTGGTGCAGATGTTGAAGCAGCCCCAATCATCTCTATATCTTCACTTTCTACCATTCTTGTTGCTCCTTGTGGTGGTAAATTGAGTTGATGCATCGCAAGCATTAACTCCCTCAATTGTTCTTGCATCTGTGCCATTGTACTCTTCATTTCAACAAGCTCTGCCATAGTAGCACTTAGAAAAGAGAAGATGTCTAATAACGCTCAAAACAAATAGAAGAGAGGAATTGATAACAAAGAAAATACTAAGAACAATATCAGTTTAAAAGAGGGTAATCCGCAACTTCTAATGCGCTTATGTCTTATCAAGAAAAAGGGGTAATCCACTCTTAATCAAGAAAAGACAAAGCTCTGATATTGTAAGTGCACTCTTGTCAATCTGTCAAGGACAAGAACTCGATGAAAGCTAAAGAGTAAGTGAGACTTTTTTCAAAAAGAAATAGGACAAAATAGAAATATGTATATTAAGAAAGAAACTGGAATGGCTATTGCCAAAATACAAGAAAACTAGAGACCCTTGAAACTAGACTAGAAGCAAGAAAGGAGTTGACAAGAGTGAAGAGGGCTTCACTCTTGCCTCTATATATACTATCTAACTAGAAGCCACGTGGCGATGTTCTATAAGACCTCCAATATATGTTGACTTTCTAGGCCACATGCCTTTGCTTGCAAGGCAAGTTTTCTATGGATGGACCACGTAGTTAGCTTGTTCTTTAAGCTTCCAACATGCGTGGCACATGGCTAACTTGTTGACCAAGTTTCTAACCTAAAAGTCAACTATAGACTCCTATAAAGTCAAAGCAGCGTCTATGAAGCTTCTAAAAAGCTTCTCTAGAAGATATTACACAATTAACCTACTTTTACATACTTTTATCTATTCATATAGGTAATTATATGTATGTCCGTGACACTTCATTGGAACTATGAATCATTCAAGTTCCTACATGTACACATCCTCTTGCAATTCTTTATAAAAAAAATATATAGTTTTTACATTAAGATGTTGTATTGGCCATGCTTGACTTGTAGCTAAGGCGACTATGGAATGAACTGGATTCCACTTCACCACTAGTACAAAAGTATCCTTGAACTCAATCCCTTTACATTATTTGAAGTCGCATGCTACCAACTAGACTTTCAGCTTATGTGGCTTATTATCAAGGATTAGTTTGATATTATAAATTGACCTTGACATGATTAGCTTCTTACTTGCCAGTAGATCTATCATCATCTATATATTATTTTGGTGGATCAATTCAATTTCTTATTCCATTACCTATCTCCATCCTTTGTGATACAATACCTTGCGATAATTGATTGATTTATTAGTAGCTATTACGATATTGATGAAATTTTCTTAGATAAGCTCGTTGAAGTATAGGACTATGAGTACCTCATCTCAATAGTCCTATATTCAATATGATGGATATCTATCTCAATGCATGTTTATTTATATGGATGTAAGATTGGAGTTTGGCAGTTTAATTGGAGAGGCAAGAAGTTGTTATCAAAGGTCAAGAATGCTATTTTCATCAAAGATGGGCCAATCCACTTTGATTAAGATATCTGATTTTTTCAATTTTTCTACAAGTTTAATGCATGGAATGGCATCCTTTGTGTGTGATTGGTGTTCAATAAATGACACATGTTCAATACATGTTTAATGTCATAAATTATTAAGATTATTTATTCTATTTGATAGTAGATCATACTCAACCTCTACCTCAAAGCCAATGATTCTTTTATTGAACCTCATATCCTGTGTCACTGCAATTTTTCTTTGAATTATAACATTTGAATGCTTTAGAGTTGGAGTCATAACTGACTAGTATGCTTTCGGTTGTCTTTGAATTATAGTGTCTGATATTCAAATAGATCCAAGTTTTTATTAAATTAACCCACCTATCATAACCATCATAAAAAGAAAAAATGATCTCAAGATTCATTTCTCTGTTGGATCTACAACCAATAAAAACCAACCACACTCATCTTGATTACCATATTCTTTATCATTCATCAAGGGAGTCTATTTAGTAAAAGAATGGGTCTAATTAACATCTCCCTCTACACATAGTTTGTGGGGTGTTAGAGGCGCAGTCGATGTCAAGGTAATGGAGAGGTCTGAGTTATGAAGATTGCCGTCGGTGCTGAGACTGCGCTGGATTCCCACCAGCTTCATATCACGGTTGAGCTTGCATTTCACTGGAAAGCATAGCTGATACGTCAGAAGATATGCGATGCAGCGCCTGCCAATGCTTCTGAATTTTACAAGTAATAAACTCTGCATGGGAGTGTCGAATTCTGGCAGACCTGCTTGCTCTCGTTGATGGGGCTTAAGCTGCTGCATGATTGTCGAATCTGATGACGTTGAATTCTTAACCCCTGGTATGGGGTAGCCAATGTCTTCAATCCCATGGAACCTATACCTTTGTGATGTATTAAATGCCTTCATTGTAGCAGCTATGATGTTTACTCCACTGAAGGGTGTAGCCACAATGCAGGCTTGAGAAATTTCTTTATATAAACTTGCATGATGAAGGTCAATTATGATTGCAAGCCTTGAAACCCCGTACAGAGGCTCATCACACTCGAAGCATTCAGATAGCTTACTAAAATATACCTGCCAGTGCTTTAGGGTTGTAGTTGCCTGCAATTCTTTTACAGCTTGAGTGATGGTAGGGTGTCAGTACTGGCAAGTGATATGATCGGTAGATTTACATCTGCAGGTGAGGTGACGCTGCTAACTTCCCTATACCTGCTTGATTTGGTGTCACTTGCTTGCTTGGCCGCTATTTTTTCGAGTTTAAATTTAGCCATGGTTTGATGTGTTAACCTACTCAGTTTCTTCGTGAATCTTTGGCTCATTCGCTGCTCTATATGTACGATTGGAAAGATTTTTTTAAGAAAGTCGACATCAGGTTGCTTGTTTGAGTTTCTTATTCTGCGAACGTGAAATGCAATTCACGCCTAACTTGAAGAGCAGGGAATGAATTGTCGAGTTCCGTTTGTGGTGAAGATTCCAACAAATAGTGTGCCAACTTCTCTTAAACTCCTAATTATATTTGGAAGTTCTGCTTTGTTACTTGATTGGCAGTCCTTCAAGGAAAGAGACATACTGCTGTTCTCTGTTATTGGCAGGCTCAGAGCTGCTACCAGATAAACAAAATTGAACTTCATACTCTGTCCCTTCACAATCAAGCCCTAATCCTTCAAATGGCACCACTAAAACAGGTGGGTTACGCCAAATTCTTCACAGCGTAAGGCTCTCAGACGCCAATAGAGCTTATGATTTACGCTTGTCCATACCTGCACAAAAATTACATAACAGATGAAAAGGCTGTAATTGCAACTACCGAGGATCAGAATGAAGCTTCTGTCCTCACCGTGCATACAGACTTCGCAGATGAGCCCACGTAAGAAAGTTATTGCAGCATTTCTAAAAAAAACCCCTAACTTCCTGTTAATCCCCACTCGAAAGTACGTGCGTTGTACCTAATGGATAATACATTCACGACAAAGATTTCAACAAAAACTGCAAAAGTTCACACATGATTGTCGAATGGTACGCAAACAGCGGCCGGCAAGGCTCTTCATTTGGCACGTACTCTCAATTATCCATCCATCCCTGGTTATGGAACTCATCCGTTTGTTGTTGGAAATGCATAGGCGAATGGGCTCGGATCGAGAGGTGTCGCCCGTCACGCGAGGACGCAAGGAGCGAGAGGACGAGTGGCGTTGAATTTGGGGCCGAAGGATGGTGGTCGTCTGCTCATGATAGGAGCTTTGTGCACATTGCCCTGTCAAGATGGTGAGATACGCCTGTCAGTCTGATTCCTCCCAGTCCACTTTGATGTAGGTCCGCGTGATGGGTGAAGCTTTTCGGAATCCTTTTGTGTTTGGGGTGATGCTGATTTAGGCTCCCATGAGCAGGATTTTTAATGAGTCGGATTCAATAGTTGGATTCTGCTCGTGCGAGGGTTTTGCCTCATTGTTTTGTTTAAGTGGTGAGCAGAGGAGCTGGTTTTTTGTCTGTTTCTGTCGCAATGATTAATTTGTTCATTTTGGTTTGTGGTCTCCATAGCTTTTAGCTCACTGATGTGTTTCTCTTGGATCTTGTCTGAGTTCTTCTTGCATTTTATGTATCTTGGATGTTTTGAGGAAATGACTGCGCGCTCTGGTTGACCTCAATTTGGGTCGTTTCTGAAAGTTCGCCTTGGTGTTGCACTCTCGGCATCTGCAATTAGGTCTGCTTACGCTGGGCTGATATTGAGACATTTATAGTGGATTTTAGCGTGCACTTGGCTAGGATTATCGAGTCAGAGACCGAAGTACGGGCTCCCCCAAGAATCATTACTTCACACCAGCCTAAATACCGTGGAATTTTTTTCTGGGGGGTTGTGATCGTCTCATATGAGAAGTGAAATCCTTTCAGTTTCCTGAGAATCGTTCATACTCTCCTTTCTAGGCCTTTATTGCTACTTGGGTTAGAGGACTAGTTTGATGAGATCAGAATTAGCTCTTGCTTGATCATTAAGCTACCGTATCACCTTCTCAGCCTTAAACTTCGGGAAACCGGCACGGAAATTAGGCAGATCCGAGTTTAGTGTCAATGGATAGGTTAAGTCCATATGTTGCATATTATGAGGTTTGTGTTTGTGGTTGATAAATTTTCCTATCCTGGAATGCTTGTGCCCTTTATTTTAGTTGATCTGACATCCTTTCGAAATCTCCTTGGAATCATTGGAATAGGTAGATCTCAAAATGTATTTGATTAGGTCGATGAAATATACTGTTACCACGAAGTAGGTGCGTGAGGTTCAATATGATGGGGGTTCCATATAGGCTATTGGAGCTATGCAGTAAATATTGATCTCAATTTGCATTTACCTGTCTGGATTATGATCCATGGGTGATCTATAGAGTCGTCGAAGTATGGTTTCTCTGTCCGGTTACAGATTATGAACTTATATAAAATGATTGTTGCTTGTGTTCCTTTGTCGCAGGTCCATCATTCATCAGTTAAGGTTGATCCAGAAACGCAACATGCATGCAGTTGTCCAATTCTTCCTCTAAAAAGTCACATAAGAGGACCTGCTCCCAGTGCTGAAGCAGGTATATCTTCGCAATATTAATCTGATAATTTATCGGTCATCGTGCTCTAGTTTATGATTCATGCATTGAATGAAGGTTTTTATGATCTTCGCATGCACCTATCGCGGGATTTACTGATCACTTACAGGAATTGTCTATGTTATCTATGTAACCAGGTAGCACAGACATTATTGATGAGGCTATCAACTTCTTCCGGGCTAATGTACTATTTAGGAAGTTCGAAGTCAAAGGTTCTGCGGACAAGTTGCTTGTTTACTTGACTCTGTACATAAACATGGCCCTTAAACGCATTGAGGCATGCAAAACGGAGGCTGATGGCGTGAAGGCCATCATTAACCTAGGGCTAGAGAAGTTTCCCATTCCTGGTGAACCTGGGTTTCCTTTGGGAGGCCTATTTACTGCACCGCAGACAAAGGAAGAAGGAGGTAACTAATTTTCTATTACCGCTGTAATCTGTCATGATGAAGTGAATCTTTTTTGATAGCTTGTTCCATCGAGAGTCTGTAATCCTTCTGCCTCGAAGGTTTGTTCTGATAGAATACCGTCTAGGCAATCGAATGCATGCAGCAGTGCGCTTGGATTAACGAAGGTTGTGTGGCTGTCTGCAGACTTATTGCGTAACTACTTCAAGCAAGTGCGGGAAGAGACTAGTGGAAGGTTGATGGAGAAAGTATATCGCCGAAATGGCACACCCAACAAGTGGTGGCTGGCTTTTGCAAAGAGAAAGTTTATGAATATCATGATGCCGCTTTGATTATTAATTGTTAGCAGTCCTCTTGTTCTGTATTCTTTTAGATTAACCGATTTGAATCAAGCCTTTCTAAACAATGGAAGTTGTTCCAGTGCTCGTGCATTCTTGGGTAAAGAATTGGACCAAATAGATTGATATTTCCTGTCAAGAACAACTTGAAGGAGGTTGACTCAATAAAAGTTTAACTGCCATAGGTAAGAAGAGTAATCTTAGGAGGATTAGCATGGCATGAACTAGACATGATGGAACTGTAGATAGCTAGACATTTGGCGGTGGAATCTGCACACCGAACCTTGTTAAGAGGTTGCAAGAAAGTATACAACATTTTTCGTTTGTCAAGTCCACATCTTCACATTTGCCACTGTTTTTTCAACTGCAAGATACCTCCATGTTGGGAAGTATCTCTAGTCAGAGTTTCTAGATTAGCGGCACTGAAAGGCTGCAAACTTCAGTTTCTAGGTTAGCGGCACTGCAGAACTTTGCTAGAGTTAGCCAAGTTTGGTAGGTGCACGCTATGACATGTTTCTAGGGTGACTCTTATACAAGTGGGCACCATCTCATGTTTAGACACATGCTGTGCTTTAAAGATTTGAGCCTGATTGAAAAGTCCTTTTTTGGAGCTTGCCTTGTTTTTTTCACTTGCTGTTTTGTAGCTTTATTTATTTTCATCTTTGTTGTATCTTATTTGCTGATTGTAATGTGTTTGATTATTTCATTGTAGATTCATCAACAATGGAAAGAAATCCAAAAATGATTTAAAAAAAATTGATTTGGTAATAATTCTAAATAAAATATAATTATATTACATCACATGTTATATAATTAGATTTTATTTGTTCATTCTATTCGACCATTAATTTATATAAAAAATCAAAATTCTAAATTTTAAATAAGTAACTTATAAGTAACTTATGTAATTGGATTTGATTTTGAATTATCATTTATATGAAATTGTGATTTTATAATTAGATCAACCAAGATTTTACTTAATCAACTATTATTGCATACATTAATAGTTCCATACTATTCATATTCCTTATCACTTAGTAAAATTTATTAAAGTTTGTTTAATCATAAATTTTTTATTAAATTATATGCATACAAAAAATATTTATTGATAATTTCTTAATAATTTTATATCTCATTATTATTTGAAGTTATTTTTTAGATTTTTAGAATTAAAAATGAGAGGTTTTCTCTTCTATGGTATTTTTTTAGAATCTCTACCAATCTCTCCTCTATGCTCAATATATCAAAAATTATATGTATATATATATATATATATATATATAATATACACCTAATTTGTATAATTCTAATACATTATAAGTAAATCATTCTTCATTAAAGTTTTTTATACCACTTTATATTACTTCATTTCATAGTTTCACCAACATCTAAACTATTCCATAGTTTTTTTTAATTTTGATTTATTTACTTGTAATATTTTAGCATTCGAATGATGTAAATTATATATATATATATATATAAAATTTATAATATTTAATTTTCTTTTAATTATTTAAAATTTTACTTGCTAATAAAATAATAAAAATAAAATATATGATAAGCACTTGAACCATAACTAAATTCTATAAATTCAATAATAGAAATTAATTATGAGATCTATAACAAAGAGCTCTTTGGAATTGTGGATTCATTTCAAGAATGACATCATTACTTAGAAGGCACCTTGAGTCCAATCACCATATATACAAATCTTAAGAACCTCAAATACTTCATCTCAACATGTATTTTAAATTATTGCCAAACTTATTAGAGTATGTTTTTATGAAGATTTGATTTTAAGATCACTTATTGATCCAAAAAAAAAACAAGGTTTGTTGGATGCCCTTTATTGACGTTCTTATTTTGCACCAAAAGGAGATGCATCTTTTAATCAACAAAAAAAAAATTCTCTGAAAGCAAGAATACTTTTATCTTCAAGCAATAAAATCTACATTGATTGTTATTTCAATATTTGTCAAGAAAATTCAATCAAGTATGTCTTCTAATTCTCTTATCTATGATATTAAAAATAATTCTTCTAAGTCTCATGATACTTCCATGTTTGAATTCAAGAATAACCTACTCTATTTAAAGACATGATTATACATTCCAGAAGGTAGGGTATAATTACATAGTCTTCAACCTCGTCATGTCTTTTTAGCAGTTGGACATTTTTGATACAATAAGACTTTGGAGCTAATATTGAGAGATTTTTGGTGGCTTCAAATATAAAAGGCAATCAAAGACTTTGTACAATCATATGATATTTGTTCAAGATCCAAAACAACTTGCCATTGACCTTATAAAATTCTACAGCCATTACCTATTCTAAAACAATTATGATCTTCTGTTTCTATGGATTTTATCACGGATCTTCAAATCTTAAGTTTATATGATTTTATATATGTGGTAATAGATCATTTTACCAAGATGGCATATTTTGTACAATATACAAAATCTATCACAAGTGAAGAAATGACTAAGTTTTTTCTTAACAACATCTATTGTTATGATGGATTACTTAAAAATATTATATCAAACAAGGAGACTCAATTTATATCAAGAAATTAAAAAATTAATTTTAAGATTTTAAATATAGATATAAAGCTCTCTTCAGCTTTTTATCCTCAAATTGATGAGCAAAAAAAATAGATGAAAAAAGTTTTGGAGTAGTAATTAAGACATATCATCAAAATGATTAGACAATTCTTTTACTATTGGTAAAATTTGTATATAATAATTTGGTACATTCTTCCACTCAATGTCACGAACATACTCATGTAAGCTAGTAATTAAATATACAAATAGGTGGAAGTAAGTAAAAGTAGGTAAAAGTAAATTAATTCTATAGTATTTAATATAGAAGCTTCCTAGAAGCTTTATAGATGCTGCTTTGACTTCATAGGTGACTTTAATTGACTTTTTGGATTAGAAACGTGGTCAACAAGTTGGCCATATGCCACACATGTTGTTAGCTTGAAATTCAAGCTAACTATGTGGCCCACACGTAGAAAAACTTGCTTTGTAAGTCAAGGCATGTGTCCTACAAAGTCAACACATATTGGAGGTCCTATAGAACGTCACCACGTAGCCCTTAGTTAGATAGTATATATAGAGAAATGAATGAAGCCTTCTTCTTTTCTGTCAACTCCTTTCTTGTTTCCAATCTAATTTCAAGAGTCTTCATGTTTTCTAGTCTTTGGCAATAGCCATTCCAGTTTCTCTTTCAATATACATACTTATTTATTTATATTTTGTTACCTTTTTTTGAGTGAAGGCTCACTTGTTTGAATTACTTTTTCATCGAGTTCTTGTCCTTGAAAGATTGACAAGAGTACACCTACAATATCAGAGCTTTCTCTAATCTTGATTAAGAGTGGATTATCCTTTTTTCTTGATAAGATATAAGCATATAAGAAATGACGGATTACCCTCTTCTAAACTGATATTGTCCTTAGTATTTTCTTTGTTCTTAAGTCCTCTCTTCTATTTATCTTGAGTAATATTAGACATCTTCTCTTTTCTAAGTATTATCATGGCAGATCTTGTTGAAATGAAGAGTGCAATGGCACAAATGCAAGAGCAATTGAGGGAGTTAATGCTTGTGATGCATCAACTCAATTTACCACCACAAGGAGCAACAAGATTGGCAGGAAGTGAAGATATAGAAATGTTTGGAGCTGCTTCAACATCTGCACCAAATCATGTCCTTTTTCCTATGGTAGAACGCCCTTCCAGTGTTAGAGAACCAAAAATTGCCCTATCCGAGAAGTTTGCTGGCACTAGATCCAAGTTTCGAGGATTTATCAATCAAGTGCAACTTATGATTGAACTTCAACCCCAAAGCTATCCAACTCCAAGATCGTAAGTTAGATTCATTGGTACGCTTCTTTCAGGTTCAGCACTATCGTGATTTTTATCTTTTCTTGAACGACGAGATCCAATATTGGATAATTTAGAGGCTTTTCTGGCAGAGTTTCGATCCATGTATGGAGAACATGATGCAAATCGTGTTGCAACCAATAAAATCCATATTTTATAACAAGACAATCGATCAATAACGTTGTACGCTTCACAATTTCGACAACTTGTAATTGATATCAAGTGGGATGATGCTACACTTATTAGCCAATTTCTCTACAGATTACAATATGAGGTAAAAAAATTAATGCTCAACTTACTTCATCCTCAAACATTGAATCAAGCAATTGACTTTGCTATGAAGTGCGACAATCACCTTTTTGAATATCGATCTAAGAACCATACAAGTGGACCTCAACGTTACTATAATTCAATGGCAACACCAACACCTCTACAATACATACATTCAAAAGTAGAGGATATGTAAATTGATGCAATATGTTTCAAACCTCTTATTGAGCAAGAAAAGACTCCTCATCCTCAAGAAGGATTATATTTATATTGTGGAAAACCAAAGCACACTACTCAACATTGTCTAAAGAAACGACACAATCACAAAATGAGAAGTATGGTTGTGAAAGAAGACAATATGTCAAAAAACGAGTTTGTTCAGCTATAATAGGAACCGTGCGGCTGGAACCTTGCACAACATCTAATAAAGGTCCTATTCTCTCCTCAGAGCCCTCTCCTTGTTTTACATTAAATGCTATTTTAGGACCTAAATATTACAAAACCTCTACCTTATTAGATTCAAGAGCCTCAACGTGTTTCTTAGATGAAGAATTTACTAAAAGACATAGCATATCTTTAGTAAAGAAAACTAAACCTGTTCATGTAGAAGTCATAGATGGTCGTCTATTGTCTTCTGGAGATATTACTCACGAAATCCTTCCTATAAAAGTAATAATCAATGGTCATAATAGCTTTGTAGTATTTAATATCATTAGATCTCCGTCTAATCCAATTATTTTAGGTTTATTGTAGTTAAAAAAATACCACCCTCAAATAGATTGGATTTTCCGAACTCTTACTTTTTCTAAAAGTATAACTAACAATGTAGTTAATCAAGTAGAGAGTCATAAGTCTAGTTCAATTAAACCTGTATTTATAGGTGCAAAAGCTTTCTTGCATGCTCCTATGAAAGAATCACCATATATTATTTATGCCACACCTGTTTCTATTGATAGAAAGACTTCAAGTGGCATTCCAAGCTAATATCAAGAATTTCAAGATGTATTCAAAAACAAGAATGCGGATACACTCTCGAAACATTGTCCCTATGATTGCTCAATTGACCTTCAAGAAGGAGCACAACCGCCATTCAGACCAATCTACAGTTTATCACAAAATGAGTTGACTGAACCCAAGGAGTATATTGAAGAAAATCTAGCCAAGAATTTCATACGCCATTCTAAATCTCCGGCAGGAGCTCCAATTCTATTTGTGAAGAAAAAAGATGGATCATTGTGGATGTGTGTTGATTATCGAGGACTCAAGAAGATTACCATCAAGAACAGGTATCCACTACCTTTAATATTTAGACTTCTTGATCAGTTGAATGAAGCTAAGATCTATACAAAAATAGATCTCCGGGGAGCATATAATCTAGTACGCATCAAAGAAGGAGATGAATGGAAGACTACGTTTCAAACTAGGTATGGACATTTTGAATACAACGT